AAAACCCACAACAGCCATTAGATCCCGGCCGTGAAAGCCTTCGCGAATCATTTGAAAATAATCTATCAAACAGGGCAAGCATCCGCCCATAGCAGCATATAGAACAGCCCCCGGTAGAATAAATATACACAGTAAAACAACCAAAGAGTAATTAGAAGAAAAGATTTATTGAACAGAAAAAGCAGTGCAGCAGCAACAGCAACAACATACACCCAAAAAGAGCAAACCCTTTCCCAAAAACGAAAGGTGGAAAAGGCAAGTAAAGAAAGGCAAAAAATATAGTTAAAGCTCCACTCGCAATCAAAACTCTTGGAATATGAAGAGATTTGCCACCACCACCCCATCCATGAGTGACATCCTGAGTCCAACAGCAGCATTCAAGCTCATTTACCAGAGAGAGGCAATCTGAAAAAAAAAAGGAAAGGGAGAAAATGTCCTCAAAAATCAATTTATGTAAAAGATGGAGAGCAGTGGTACCAGCAGCAGAAGCTCTAGAATAGCACAGCAGTCCCATAAGGAGACACCACCTGAGCGAAGGGGTTTCAAGGTCCTTTTGAAGACGGAGCCTTCCTCTTGTCCCCATGTCCCTCCCAGTTCTGATTAGCAGCTAGCAGCCCATGTCCTGAGACTTATGGTGCTATCTGATGACACATTAAGCAGGTGATTTGACGTGCAACAGGTCAAAGGTTAAATGAAAGAGAAAACATGAAAGAACATGACAGTTTCATGAACCTCTCTTTCGTTTACACAAATTTATAAACATCAATTTTATTTTACTTATATATTATTTATTTACCACCTTTTCCCCTGTAGGGGACCTAGGGCTGCTCACAATCATTAAAACTACACAACAGATGAAACATAATATACAAAAAACTATATTAAACACGATTAAGCATCAATCAAGATTAAGAAGAATTTTAAAACCTTTTAAGAAATGCTAGAAATGTCTGAATTTGATAAATGGGGTGGGTCCAAGCTACCTCAAGGACAGCATCTTCCATTATGAGCCAACTTGGGTGTTAAGATCATTAGGGCAGGCCTTTCTCTTGGTCCCGCCACCTTCACAGGTGCGCTTGGTGGGAATAAAGGAGAGGACCTTCTCTGTTCCTTCTCCTGGACTTTGGAACTCCCACCCACAGGAAGCCAGGCTCCTTACTAGCCTTTCACAAGCAGGCAAAGCCCTTTCCTTTTCAGGCAACCTTTCCCTTGACTGGCTGCCTGAGTTGGTTTTTTTAAAAGGAATTATTGTGCCTTATTGCTTTGAATGTGTATTTGGTGTTGATTTTGTTTACCGTTTTTCAATATGGTATTTGCTTGATTTTGTCGTTGTTGTTTAGTCGTGTCCGACTCTTCATGACCCCATGAACCAGAGCACGCCAGGCCCTCCTGTCTTCCACTGCTTCCCGGAGTTTGGTCAAATTCATGTTGATCGCTTCGGTGGCACTGTCCAACCATCTTGTCCTCTGTCGTCCCTGTCTCCTCTTGCCTGCACACTTTCCCAACATCAGGGTTTTTTCCATGGAGTCTTCTCTTCTCATGAGATGGCCAAAGTATTGAAGCCTCAGCTTCAGGATCTGTCCTTCCAGTGAGCACTCAGGGTTGATTTCCTTTAGAATGGATAGGTTTGATCTCCTTGTAGTCCAGGGGACTCTCAAGAGTCTCCTCCAGCACCACAATTCAAAAGCATCAATTTTTTAAAAAAATATATTTTTATTGTATTTTTTCGATCTGTTGCAACCAGAGTGATTTATTACAATATATTCCATTCATTTAAACTTATACTCTCTAACATAGTATTGATCTAATCTATTCTACTTACCTTGATGTAGAGTTCATCCAGGTATAAAGAGGTTCCTATTTATTATTATCCAGTGTGTCATTTAATGTATCTGTCCATGTGTAGAGTTGCCTCTTGTGTTGTTGGAAAAGAGTGTTTGTGATGATCAGTTTGTTCTCTTGACAAAACTCTATTAGCCTTTGCTCTGCTTCATTTTGAACTCCAAGGCCAAACTTTTTATTCCTTTTATCTCTTGACTCCCTATTTTAGCATCCCAATCCCCTATAATGAGATTCCAGATGGATTGTGTTTAGTCAGAACACTCCTCTATGACATGTCTATCTTGGATGTCCCTGCATGGCATAGCCCATAGCTTCCCTGAATTACTCAAGCCCCTTCGTCATGACAAGGCAGCAATCTGTGAAGAGAATTATATCATTAATGGAATTATTGTTATGCTGCAGTGTGGACCAGTTGGGGCGGCAGGGTCCTTGCATGGGGTGCACCCCCATGTGCTTGAGGGTGGGCGGGGCACCCTTGCAAACATGCAGAGGGATGGGGCACACTCGCGAGTTGTGTGGTGCATTGTGCGCATGCACAGAGGGGCAGGGTGCATTCACAGAGGGGCAGGGTGCACTTCCACGCATGCATGGAGGTGCGAGGTGCGCTTCTGGAGGGGTGGGGCACCCGTGCATGTGGGTGGCATGCCACGCGTGCCGGAGGGGTGCATGGGGGGAGTGCATGCAGGGGGCGGGAGACCTTCTTTGCAGCCTGGTCCTGCCATGGCTATGGACTGCCACCAGCCCACGGACCGGGGGTTGAGGACCCCTAATACTGGACTATCCATTTATCTTTTATGGACTATAAATATGTTGCATCTACTAAGTATAAATAAATAATTATATATAATTCTAGTTTTGAAAGGAAGACAAGAGTACGCTTTTAATTCAAATTGAATACACATGCCTTTTAACACCTCTGTCTTGAGTCTGTAGGGGAGAGGACAGGACATTAGCAGAGTCGAGAGCAAAATTGAGTGCTGTGAATGTTAAAATATCAGCCGTGCCTGCATTTCATTACCCTCTCAGTTCTCTGTCTCTTTCACCTGTAAAAGTCAACATAATGTCCTAGGCCGGGGCTTGGTGGGGATACCTGTTGCTAACTCAGCACTACAGAAGGAAGAAAGCAAACATGGGTGGTCATTGACCCCATGTCAAATGGTGTTTAACATGCGGAAATCTCTGGGAGGTAATTAGGTCTTTGCACCAGAACTCCAGAAGTGGATCTGATCTTCGCTGCCCATTATACTTGAAGCTATGGGTGCGGCGTTTTTCCTCTGGGCCCTGGCTCTGCTTTCATGCATGACGTTGGCCTCTTCAGATCCGTAAGATTTTTATTCTTCATTTCTCTTTGCTCAGCTGTAGGTAAATACAAATGTAGATGGGAGTGTGAGAAGAAGAGAAGAGTAGTGTTGAGTTCTTGGTATTCAGATGCGGCATTGCCTGTCTTCAAAATGGAATGGAGGTGGAACATGGGGCTTGGATTGGTTTGTTATGGGAGAGGTTCCAGAGACTGCATTCCAGTCCTAGATATGAACCTAAAGCTATCCATGTTTCCTTATAAATCCCATTAAGTTAAAGTGAGTTCACTTCCACCTTAGCATTGCATTGCAGCTTTCACTTCTTATGTGAGAAAGTGAGCACGTTTGCTTTATTTATAAATTAACAGCAGGACCTGCCTGACAAGATGGAAACAAACACTTCCTTATGCAGGCAGTTCCCTCACAGATCACACTGTGCCACTTCCATGCATGCCATCATCTGTTTCAACTAACTCCAGGGAGTAGTACAAACACTCGGCTTCCCCTCTACCTCTCTCTGCCCAGTTCAACGACAAATGGGCATTTTTAGCATTGTTTTCTGTTGGATCTACTAGCAAATTGTGGGATACAAGAGTGCCTTGATTTAAAATGCCTGTCTGTGAAATGGCAGCAGAATTGAAGCGTGTGTGCGTGTGTGTGTCTTTGTAGGAGTCTTCACTTTTTCAAAGAGGTAGTGCTCTTTTTAAAGAAAGAACTTAATAATGTGACTTCAAGAAGTTTGCAAATCAGGAGGAAGAGGAGAGGATATAACCCGATTGAAGTCTAGATTCTAGACCGTATTGAATTGAAATTGTCCCAAAACACTGTTCAAGATAATGAGTTATGTTCTTGTTTCTCTTCCAGTCATTATTTGGTGGTTGTACCAGCTGTTATTAATCATCCTAATACAGAAAAGCTGTGTATACTCCTGCACTCCCTCCCAGAGACTGTCCACTTGGAAGTAAAGTTAGAAACAGAGGCTGAGAATCATACCTTAGTGCAGAAGGACGTGGAGAAACCAGGAATCTATGAGTGCATCAGCTTCCAGGCAAGTTTATCCAGTTCATTTTTATTAACCAGAAGGTGCTCTTCTTCCTTAGCCAGAAAAGAAAGGTTGGGGGAAAAGCCAAGTATGATGACATACAGCTAAGCCGTGGCTTGGGGACTGTTATCACTCCAGCTATTTCCCTAATTATGATTTGAGACAAATTCATATCATGATATAGTGGATTTCCATACTGCAACCTTTGCTTCTCTCCTACTGGAGACTGGATATCATCCTAGCTATTTCTA